CGGAAAGCCGCCATCCTTCCCCTCGGTGTCGCCTGCCGTTGGCTCAGGCTTCTTCCTCTGGTCCCCCTTTTTGGAGCTGCCAAACAGGAAATGCTTCATGAGGGTGCTGTCCTTGTACAGGTGCTTGACGGGGAAGGCATGGTTCAGTCATGGCCCCTCGAGTAGCTTCTCGAAGTGGTCGGGAGCACCCTCATGTGGGCGCCCAGCTGCCTTTTTGCTCGGTAGCAGCCACGAGCTAGCCCCCATGTCGCTGCTTGTTCTCCTTCTTGTTCGAGCGGTTGGAGGCGCCCTTGTCGATGTCCTTGTCCCGCTTCGCTTTGCCCATGGGGCGGTCAAAACCGCTTCGACCGCCTCCTCGCCTGAGGCATGGCTGGTCACGATGTCGAGGAGCTCCTTAGTGGTCTGAGGGCCCTTGCGTCCCAGCTTGTGGACCAAGGACTCGTAGGTGGTCCCAGATAGGAAGGCTCCAATGACGTCGGCGTCAGTGACGTCGGGCAACTCGTTGCATTGCCTAGAGAAGCGTTGGATGTACTCGTGGAGAGTTTCCCCGAACTTCTGTTGGCAATTCTTTAGATCCCAGGGGTTCATGAGGCGTGTGTAGGTGCCCTGGAAATTTCTCACAAAGATCTCTTTCAGGTCCGCCCAGCTTTGAATCCGGTTAGGCGGAAGGTGCTCCAGCCATGTTCGCGCTGAATTGGCCAGGAACAAGGGGAGGTTGCGGATAATGAAGTAATCATTATACACACCACCGGCTTGACAAGCAAGTCGGTAATCCTCAAGCCACAGACCGGGGTTCGTTTCCCCAGAGTATTTCGGGATGTTAGTCGATGGTCGATACCGCGGCGAGAAAGCCGCGTTGAGGATGTGCCGGCCGAAAGCCTGGGGCCCCGACAGATCGGGGCTCGGGCTCCAGTCCTCATCGCTGTCGTAGCGTCCACCACGACGAGGGTGGTAGCCGCGGCCGGCCTCCTACCCTTGTCCCCCCGTCCGTGCCTACAGGCGTCCAGGGTGTTACGTGGATTGTGGTTGGGGCCGAGACGCTCATGCACTGGGACCATGGCAAGCTCCCCGCCATCGCGTGGCGTTTGGTGGACGGATACATCCTAGCCATGTCGTCCCAAAGACACGCGCTGACTGGCATCGAGCTCGCGTCGCCGAGACAATGAGCTTTTCGCCTATTGCACCATCGTGCGCTTGAGCAGCGTGCGGATCTCGCGATGGGCCCAACGGTCTTCGGGTGTCGTGGGCTTCGGGTGCCCTCGGAGCAAGGCCGCCATGACAGCTATGTTCTGGCTTGCCCGAGCGAAGTGCGGGAGGCATCTGTCGTCCTCGATGATCCTCCGGATTATGTCACGGGCGACGGCGCGTGCACGGCCACTGTCTCCACGGTGTTCGATCTCGCGCTCAAGCTCCACACGCTCTTGCTCCAGCTAGAGTCGCACATCCTCGATCTCCTTGTGTCGTGTTGTCAGCTGCTCCACCCGCAGGCGAGGCAGGGGCCCTGCATCTCCCTCGACCTCATCGTCGGGGTCATTCATAGGAGTAGCCCTCCCTCATGGATGCTTTCAACGCGTCCCTTGGGGGTGCCTGCCATGAAGCATTCTTGCGAGGGGTGATGGCTTCCCCTACTGGAGTCAGAGTCAGAGATCGTCTCTGAATCTCCCACGAGAATGTCATGGAAAGATTCCACGATGTAGTCCGTCATACCCACGAATTCATCATTCGTGGTAGTCCGTCATATCCACGAATTCATCATCCGAACAGGAACGCTATCGGGGTACTCCGGGTTAGGTATTCTAGGGAGAGCAGTTCCTCTCCGGCAAGCTACGTCATAACGTTGGCGAACGAGAAGGCGAGGCAGCACAGGTCCTCCCAGGACGGTCGGGGTCCTAGGAAGGCGTCAAGCTGGCGCTCTAGACTCCCATAATCGAAACCGAGGAGCTAGTCGCTCCTAGGGGCAGAGGCCTCTGGGGCATGCAGCTGCAGCTCTTTGAGGGCCTCGACGGTTGCATCGAGGCCGGTGGAGCGAAGAAGTTGGACGGGGGCAGGAGCCCGTGCCAGCTCTCCTCCACGGTGACGAAGAAATCTAGGCTCCCCGGCGCACGTGCGCGCCGGGACCCGGCTAACGTCGTGGCTAGCCATCCATGGCGATTGTGGACAACAAAGGCGCGTAAAAGGCCCCCTACCTAAGCGGCATAGCTCGCCGATGTTTTGAACCATCGACTAGTAAATTTGTGTTTCTGCTGTCGGCCGGATGGTGTGCTCGGAGGACACAAGAGTTTATACTGGTTTGGGCGGAATGTCCCTACATCCAGTTTGAGGCTGCTCGTGTTACCGGCACTTGTTTGTAGCAGGGGCTACAAACAGGCGAGAGAGGGAGAAGGTCCCAAGTCTTTGATGGAAGGATCGAATGGAGTTGAGTCTAGTTGAACTCGTTGAGCCGTTGCTTGCTTGCCCTTTGTGGGGCGTCATGCTTCCCCTTTTATAGATGAAGGAAAAGACGCAGGTTACTCGAGAGAAAGGGGGGGAGAGAGACAAAAGCAAGGAGGAAGAAGGCCTCTAGGGTCGCGGCGCCCTTCATCTCCTTTACGTGGGTCCCCCGGTCCTGTAGATGATGACGGGGACGGCTCCACGTCGTGACCCTATTCGCCATCTTGGCGCTTACACCTTGGCGTCGTGTACCGGTCGTGGCGCCCCTCCTCCGTCCGTGGCGGCATGGTCAATAGGTACCCCTGACGGAGGTCGTACAAGGATTAGGTAGCATAGCGCCGGTACGCCCGATACTATTGGCAATGTGAGTCCTTAGGTATGGCCCGTCGTGGCCGCGGGTCACGTCAAGACGCACCTACTCCATTTTTCTGGTGTCAGAAGTTTGACCCTGGGTTCGTACTCTCAAACCGGTAGTGGTTGGAGGCAGTACGGACCCTCGTCGGGCGAGGCAGAATCCCCCTTCGAGGGGTCTGGCGAGGCGATGTCCGCGTCCTAGGGGTTGGGCGAGACGGAGCCCGCGCCTTCAGGGTCGGGTGACACGGAGCCCACGCCCTCGGGGCCGGGCGAGACGGAGCCCGCACCCTCGGGGTCAGACGTGATGGAGCTTGCGCCCGAGAGGTCTGACGAGAGGGAGCCTGCGCCCTCGGGGTCAGGCGACACGGAGCCCGCACCCTTAGGGTCGGGCGAGACGGAGCCCATACCTTCGGGGTTGGGCGAGATCAAAATACGCTCTTGACCATCCGAGCGATTTAGCGTTCGCGGCCATCAGCTTCCTTCTTCCAGGTATCCCTAATACTGATACCCGACACCGTGCCCCCATAGAACCAAGATCCTAAGCTGACCACCGAGTCAATACTCTGTCACCGCTCCTCAAAGCATGGCCATGTTAACCCTATTGTGATCGAAACATGGAAACCATATCCAATGACCAGTGTCAATATCTCACTGTCTTTTAACCTGAGGGAGACTGATTGGTGTGTTTACGAGAGATACAAGGATGGTAAAAGATGCACCTGATATGGGTCCCACAATAATGAAAATGGTTGGAGCATGAATATGGGACACACAGAACATGAGGATAATCCTATTGGGTAGTTCCATATTATTATTATTTTCAAGAGTGTCACGACATATATAGCTGTTCGTTTGTTGGTTTCAGCCAGAACTTATCAACCAGCCAACAGTGTTTTTCTCACAACAAACCAGCACCAGCCGGACTTATCAGTCCAGAAACCAACCAGCGAACAGGCTGATAGTGCTTTCGAGTCTACAAATGAAGCAAATACCTCCAATGTGTAATGTCTTTCCTTTTTGTTTCATAGGCTATTCATATCATTTAATTTAATACACAACACATGAGGTTGGAGGATCGTGTGATGAAATGAAACTTTTGGCTCTAGCGCTCATGTGGAACAACTTCCCAATCTCAGAAAGAGTGCACACACCAAGTTTAATTTATATCAGAGTCCCTCACACCTCGCTTTTCGTAACTCTAGTGTCATATCATCACATTTTCATGACACCTCATTTAGTACTAATGAGAATGAAGCCCCAAGTGAGCAAGCCTCTTGCCCTTAAGATCCACGAATAAGATTTTTGGCTTATCTTCCTCCATGTCACTGTTATTCTTGAGCATGGTAGACGTAGATCTCGTTATGTGTAGGTCTCTTCTGTTCCAGCAATGTTCAGATTGTGCTCATGTTACACGGGCTTGGCCTGTGTTCGTGTTCGTGATTTACCTAGGAATTAAATCAATTTAAAAGTGCTAATATATCTACAAGTGTCAACCACTCGCAAAAATGTCGCCAGTGAAACAGCTAACGTGGCACTTGCAAGTGTCATCATTATTTTTTAGATGGAAACTATTTTCCACTAATTTGAAAAACACACACACATTAGCACCAGCGACTACCAGTTCGATTACATCTTTTTTTTCCTTGCGAAAATCCAGTTCGATTACATCAGGTGGCACTGAATCGTGCCAGAACAAAATATAACATCCCTGGTGACAAATTCGCACACAAAATACCATGAGGATTAACCAAGACCATAACATCAGTAAAACTTAAAAATATGAGAAATTTATTAGCCTCCCTTAGGAAAGACCATTCGCAGCCGAACCATAACAAACTGAGTATTATACATCTAATAATGGCCAGCTCTTCTGAGCATCCCCTTCTTCATATCTATCATATCGGGTCAAAAAAAGAGACTTTCCTCGACACATCCAGCAGAAACTACAAGCAATCTGGACCATGTCCCTCTGTTTCACATACCGAGTGAACACAGGACAACCATAAACCGTTGCATACGTATTCTACCTAAAGTCCCCTCATATATGAGCGGAGGACGTGCTACAACCTATAGAACATGATAGCACATCAAAAACTTTCCTATTTTTCATGCCTCAGTAATACTATGTAACCTGCTCTCATGTCAGTTATACCTTTTCTATCCGTGTGAACTAGCTGTGCTTATCAGGACAATTAGCAAGGGGGACCGGAAATTCTCTACAAACTTCTAAAGTCAAGAGCGGAGACTTCTTCCATAGGAGCGTCAAGGTCTTGGTAACTGCAACCAGAGTAAGGAACAAGTTACAAGATAGTCGATGAATGAAAGGGTTCAGTACGACAATGAATTCATGATGACATTCTGCTCCAACGAGTAAACAAGTAATAAAACAGCAAAACATTCATCAAGTCTTTCAACCCCACAATCAGTTGCCACACGGCAAAGCTATAACATAGTGGGAATCTTTCATAGTTACAAAGTTGCATGCGAAACAAGCAAGCACAGATGAAAACCATGCTAAACATGGCATTAAAGTGAATGTGGCAGCCACGTAGTTATACGGCAATACACTAAATTCTGCATACCACGAAGCAATCTGACAAATATTTCAGTCTTTTTTTTGTCTCAGAAAAGAAGAAGATTTCAGAATCTTTTTACCTAACCCAAGGGGAAGTTGATGAGTAAAATTTGGCTGGTATGTCTACCACCAAAAGCAAACTAAATGTCATAAATTCTTGAGACAGAGTGGATTAGAGGGGTACTAACCTCCTGTAGATGTGACTGCCAAGCGGAAATGATGGGTACATGGGCAGCATTGGTCCCAGCACCGAAGGCTTCCTGTTTTGAGCAGAATCTGGTCCTGGAAGTCCTTTCTGAATCATCTGCATGGCCATCTCTGGAGGTGCAGGAACAAATGGACCATATGGGCTAAAAGAAGAAAACAAAGTACCCAGCTTTAGTAGACAGCCTGGATCTCTTAAGCGAGTAATTAGCTGACTTGCATTCGTAACCTACCCAGCACCAGGCACAGGTATTAGTACTAGTGAAGGTGCACACATGGGGAGAAGTGGAGCATGTGAACCCCATACACCAGAAGCATCAAACATCTGTTCATCCAGCCTTCGTCTCATTCTATCCTGAATGAGAAAGTATGGTTATCAACAAAGACGTTAAACTGCAAAGCCAGCATGTTAAGAAACATCACCTATTAGCTAGCAGAAATGAAACGATAAAATATAATTGGGTCAAAACAAACCCACTTCACCAACTAGATATGTAACTTTTTCTGAGGTTCTATGAAAAGTAATTATTTTTTCTATTAACACGTGAATTCTTTAGCAGTAAACTTAAGGTGACTGGAAAAGTGAAAATTGACATTTTTTTTAGTTTCCTTCTTCTAAAGGAAGAGTAAAGCATTAGTTTACAATAGGGTCAAACAAAAAAATTAAGAGGCAATTGTATTGTATGACAAGAAGAGTTATCAAAGGAATGAGCAGTTTGCTACAATGTACTGTACAGTATATCATGTAATACAGAGAAAGACTCTAGATCATGCAGTTCATATTAAGAGAATAGAGAAGCATCACATTTTTCTTGTCCTGCTGTAAAAAGAAGAAAACGGAAAGGCTAAGTAACAGGGACAAACTAAACGAGCCAAAGATTATTACAGGTACCGTTTGCTGCATAAGCGGTTTTCCTCCTGGAGCATCTGGATCACTGCATCAAAAAGAGAATAGAGAAGCATCACCTTTTTTGTTACTCCTGATTCAATGGTCTTTCAGTTGTGTACTTGTGTATGGGCTTACTTCATGTAATTTTGGAAATATATATCATTTTCAACTCTTGATGCCAAAGTAGAGACCAAATCAGGATGCTTGAGGTTCAGATGCTTGTGAACATACTCAGGAGCATGAAAAAGTTTTTCGCATCCCTTGGCTCCACAACCATACTTACAGACGCACTTCTCATCCCGCATTTTTCTGACATAACGCTCTAGAACTTCAACAAGTGCTGCTTCAATTTTGTCCATGGCAGTCAATACAACTAGAGGATCCTGACCATTCATCAGTCTTTCTTCCCAAAAGGAATCCAGTTTCTTCTCCCAATCAGCAGCACTGATGTTTTCAGCCATACTGTCACTCTTGTTTTCAGCTCTCACATGGCAAACCTTTTGCATGTTTCATCTCAGACATGCCATAGTAATCAACACCATGGACACGCCACAGATAAGTAAGGAGAGTGTCTAGGAGCTCAACACCTTCAAGGCCCTTAACAGTATTTAAGCCCTGGACAATAACGACAGGCGCTATGGACCTAACATATGATTTATCAACATTTGATTTGCCATGATCACCAGTTAACAGGATGTTTTCCATAATATCCTTCTCTGAATCAAGTTTTTTCACCAAAGCAAGAGTTCGGCGTATGTCGGTGTGAATCCTTCGATGCTGTGAACTGATTGGATGAGCTTTAGGAGCAGCTGAAAGCAGTTCGATCTCTTTCTTGGGACCTCTTCCATGTTCTCTTTTCTTGTCACCATAAGCTGCATTATTCTCAGAGCTTCCATCGTTGCCTTCTCCTGATTTAATTGCTGCATCAGCAGTCACTCCAGGACCACTAGACCAAAGATCAAAATATCAAATTATCAGCAAAACTAACAAAATCACAATAATCATAATGACACAGATTATATAGAGTGCATCTCACAGGTCCAAAGTTCCATTCCGCAGGTCAAGGATCAAATTCCTCGCTACAGTCTTGCAAAAATCATTCCTCCTGAGTGAAGAAAATAAGACACACTAACGGTTAGCAATCAGCAACCAGAAAAACACTTATCAAAATGAACTATTATGGTCTCTTGTAAATGTGCTATACACAGGCTTTCTTTGAGAACAATGGGCAAGCAAACTTCTCACCTTCGGATAACTGATAACAATTTTGTTGGGTGGTACATGTCTTTCAACCTGCAATTAAAATTAAATCAAAATCAAGGAACCATCAAATCATGTAGTTAATATAGTACAATTAACACCTCAACAAACAAAGGCTTTTAGCATACCAATCTTCATTCTTATTGAGATCAAAATAAGCACGTTTCTGAGTATTTATGTATTCTGTCCTGTATTCTTGGTACCTTGTAACCACAGAACAAACAATATCATGGGCGTGAGCTACAAGTAGAAGTTGTAACAGCTACCATTAAATCGAACCCAAGTTGTATTCTCTGGCATCGATTACCTGCATCCAGCTTGAGCTGGTGAAACATCATCCTCAAGAACTTGGATAAATTGTTTGTATGTCATTAATCCTAACCTAGAATCATTCAGAATAATATAAGTGGACATGCAAGTAGTCATCCATTAGGTTCAAATTAAAACGGAACGAAAAGAAACTTAATAGAAGAAATGGAAGAACAGAACACCCACAGTACACGGGAATTAACAGCAATCAACAAGCAAGCAGATCAAACACATCCACCACTGGGCAAAGCTTGCATACCTTCCAGTTTTATCTTGACCAATAGTGGCAGCACCATATCCTGAATAAGGCCTATCTGAAATAAGCAAGAAGTCATTTTTTGTGACACATTGTCAGGCAACACATGAAAGACCATGGGCTTTGTTTATTCATTAGTTTGTCTTCTTATCAAATAATACCAAATTAATCTGATCCTTTGCAGTTAGGAATCACACAAGTACTGATGTTAACTCGTGCTATCAAGTTAATAGGAACTCTACAAGAAATCCTATACTCTTATAAAGCAAAACCCCACTAGCACATGTGGCCTTTTCTCTTTCTATCCTCTTTCATATATGTCCCATGATGTAAAAGCTTAGTTTTTACTCCCTACAACTTTGTTTTTTTGTGTTATCATTTGAGCTCGCTCATCGATGTGGCAACTGAGTGTCATCCTGCCTATATAGTACAGGTGCAAACAGATGGATAACTGGACGGGGAAGGAGAGATTCATTGGTAAATAAACCTGTAATGTTCTAATCATCATTTTTATATATCATGTCATACTATTCGTATTTTACAAATGCACGATGGTTTATGAAAGTTCTATTACAATTTATTAATATAGTCCTACCTCATCTAAAATTTATAAAAAAATCTGTCAATACCATGCCACGTTATAAGGTAACTCATCCTATGTTTTGATTTTTCAGTTAACATTAACAGTTAACAAATAGCTCAATCTATTTAACATATCTTTCTGGTTTAAAGAATCATCACTCATTATTTCATAAACCACACTTTCTACTGCTAACCACAGTAATACATCTCCTCCAATACCCGCAGCAACGCGCGGGGTTTTCACCTAGTTTACCCTACAAAGGGTGCCAACAAGAAAATAAAGCCACTGATTACTGGAGATGTTTAACATTGATTCACTGAGAGGCACAACTCAAATTCTTTATTGATATATGTGGGTGCATTGTGCAATTGCGTATCTAGGCAATTGAATCAGCCATCCGGTGCCCACCTATCTATGTGTTTAATCTATAACACGACGTAGACACGATCTCCAAAGCTGTTAATGTGATTGTGTCCCAACCAAATGCTCTGATCAATGCCCTCTGCTCTGATCAGTCATCCGGTGCCCACCTATGTTAAACAGATGAACAATGCCCAATTTTTCAGTTACAAAGTATTATTTAGAAGGCTGATAACTGGTGAGGACTTTCCACGAATAGCGACGCAGACTCGTCAACTTTATGCTAATATGGAAGAAGAGTGAGGGCTGGCAGCTTGAGACAGCATATCACACCAATGACCATCACACACTGCTGATGCCAATCAAACTCACACCGACATGAATTCCATGCACGATTGCGTGAATGAATTAGGCTGGATTCTGGACATACCTGGAGAGCAAGAACGACTGCAGGAACGGTTGCTCCTGCCTTCATTTCGCCCGCACTCGTTCCGGGAGCTGAGGAACACAATCCCCAAAACACAAAAGGCGGAAACGAACTTCACTTTAGCATCATCGTATCAGCTTGGATTGGAAGTTGGAACCTACGTGAGCCTTAATGCACGAAAGGCAAACGAGGGCCTCACCTCCCGCGGCGAGACCGTTTGCGCGGCACGGGCGACGGCGACCTCGGTGGCGGGGAGCGCCTCTCCCGGCGGCGGCCTCCTCCCGCTCCTTTTCTGGGGCTGTCGTTTCTCCTTTTCCAACTCCCTCCACGCCGCGCGTCGTCGTCGCTCTCGTGGCGGACCACGGCAGCCAGCTCGGGGCGCGATGATCCGAGGGGGGGAGGGGAAGGGGGAGGTAGAGGGAGCGGCGGCGATGGTGACCTCCGCGTCGTCGAGCGGCGCTGACGACGCCGGTCCCCTCCCGCTCCGGGGCTGCTGCCGCTCTTCCTTGCGCTCCCTCGACGCGGCGCGTCGTGGTCGTTCTCGCGGCGGACCACAGCGTCTAGCTGGGGGCGCGATAATCCGAGCAGGGGAAGGGCAGGGGCAGGTGGAGGTAGCGGGAGCGGCGGCGACGGTGACCTCCGCCTCGTCGAGCGGCGCTGGCGCCGGTCCCCTCCCGCTCCGGGGCTGCCGCTCCTCCTTGCACTCCCTCGACGCGGCGCGTCGTGGTCGCTCTCGCGGCGGACGCGGACCACAGCGGCCAGCTCGGGGCGCGACGATCCGAGCGGGGTAGGGGGAGGTAGAGGGAGCGGCGGCGACGGCGATCTCCGCGGCGTCGAGCGGCGCTGATGGCCGCGGCCCCCTCCGGCGCCGGGGCTGCCCCTCGTCCGCGGCGTCCTGTCGGCAGGCCGCGCGACGAAGCCCTCGAGGCGCTCGGGACGCGACGATCCCAGCGGGGGCGGGGGAGGGAGCAGCGCCTGGTCCTTCGGAGGCGCCGTAGTGGTGAGGGACCGGCCGGGCGCGCCGGCGGGAGAGCAGAGCGCGTGCTCCATTGGGGTGGGAGTACAAGGTGGTGGCGTCCAAGCGTCGGGACTCGGGAGCACGGAGCGGGGTTTGGTTAGGGTTTTGGGTTGGCTTGGCGGTTTAGAGGACGGAGGAGAGAAAAAGGGAGGAGAGGGTGGAAGAAGCGGGGCGACAATGTGGAGCAGTGGACGCGGGAGCGAACAGAACAGGGAGGCGAGGAGAGCGGCGGCGATCATTCATCAGTTTGTTCATCACTCATCTCATCAGGCACGCACGCCGCGGATGGAGGCGGTGCGTGCCGTGCCAGCCAGCTGTCGGCCTGGCGTGCCGAGGAAGGGAGGGCGGTTTGTACGTACAGGCAGCGCGTGGGTTAACGGGTCCTGGGCCGGCACAGTGGCCCAAAACAAATTAAACAAGGTGTCCGCAACCACGAGCCGCATGGACACATTCGCACATCGCACAAGCGTCGAGTGCATCTGACAGACAGTAGGTAATGTCCGTGGTTTGTCACGAATTCACGATGCTGCTGCGTGGAAGGAGATCTGCTGCAGTCAGTGAAACGATTGCATGCTACTGTGTGGCACATGCAGCTTGTCAATGAACGAACAGCTACCTCAACCTGACACTTATCGGATGATTGAGATACATGTACAAACGTCACTGCGTCAGGAGCTGCAGTTTTCATGTGCAGTCCAGTTCAGGCTTCAGAGCTCGCCAGCCTCCTCTTCAGGGACTCGTTCTCCTTCCGGAGCTTCATCACCTTCTGCTTCAGCGTCTCCACGTGCTGGACCGACACGGAATCCCTTTGCTGCTCCGCCTGCTTCATCCTCGTGATCCTCACTGCATCATGAACAAGAACAAGTTAAAGCCGCCAAGAAGCAATGCGCTGACAAGATCTAAGGCAATTTCAACTACTTTCTGAAGACCAAACAAGGGGTTGGCGTGGCGGTTCATATTTTCTGTCCCCTGTTCAGAACTCAAAGGCAAGCCCATGGAACGCTACTTAATAAGCATGTTGAGGATACAAATCATCTTTTTCTTTCCCTGTTTGAATTGGTACATGATGTCTGCTGTTTGCAGAAACTCATCTCCTTTTTTCAGTTGACCAGTTCAGCTTGAACTTACACTCGTTTTCTGCATTCTGAAGCTTCCTGTGCATGTCCTTTTTCTCCTCTTGTTCAACAGAAATCACATCCCTCAAATCCTGGATCTCATTTTTATCTGTACAAGGAACCAGGAAGAATTGCCATCAGGTGGGATAAGAATAAGAGACTCTATTCCAGAAGAAGGGCTAATCTTAAACGTAGAAGGGAAGTTAAGAACATTACACTGAGAATGCACGTCAGCAGTAACCTGCTCCAACCTGCTACCTAACATGTCGATGTGAGCTTTATGGGCACTCAGCTCCAACTTCAGTTGCTTCATTGCAGCTTCATCTCTTGCTTGCTGAACAAGGGTGTGGCTGATTGCAGTGAAAGTCGGTAGCTCATTCAGTTTTCACAAAGCAACCAGCAGGAAAATATTGGCTGAATATGATTCCCTCGGCGGTCATATGCAGCCGCCCTCAAAAGATAGTTTCTTACCTGAGCTTGTTCTCCAGGGCATTGCTCTTCATTTCACTGCTGTGCTTAAGTTGCTCAGTCTCCCTCTTGTGCTCCTGCATTAAATTGACACATGCAGATTAATTTGTGGATTACCCAGACGCTTAGCTGTTAGGAGGCAATTTGTTACCTCTTCCATGGATAGCAATCTACTATTTGCCTTTTCCAGCTCTTCCTTCAGGCTTTGAGCTTCTGCGTGGAATTTCACCTGAATAGAATCAGTCAAATCAGAAATAATCCATAGTTTTATTAACAATCATAGGCACAGCATACTTAACAAAGAACATATCATAATAATAATACTTGATGACAACCCCAGACATCTCAAAGTCCTTGAACAGTTGAGACACACTGAGGTCCCATTATAATACATGTCCTTGTACTGGTTCCACATTTCCAGCAAAAGTAACAAAAAGTCAAGACCAAACTACAGAAGCATTTCGCAATCAACTAGACATCACCCATCAGGATATGTTAAAAATGCTTCCATGGAATGAAGACCCCTGTTCTCAATTAGATCATAGGTGAAAATGGCACCTGCTAGCCTTGAAATATGCAGTAGTACAATTTTACCACCTTATAAATGCACAAAGTAAGTAGCAACCTACCTGGTTGGTGAACTTGAATAAAGTTTCTGTGTATAGTCTTCTTAATCGCTCATTGTCTGCAGAGCATGAGAAGTTATCATTTCTTTCGATCTCAGGAAGAGAAGTAAATGATTAGCTACTGTATAATTTACAGTCTCTTAAAGCTTAAACTTGTAGAAACATCTGAAGTGGTTAACCTTTCTTAAGATCTGTAATATGTGATTCAAGAGCTTCACGCCTTTTGAACTCAGTGCTGCAGTTTACTCTTAAAGCCTGGACCTCCGTAAGTGCATCTTTGTACCCCTGTTCAGAAAAAAAACCCCCGAAAGACAACACAAGACCAATAAGGACAGAAAATGCTAACGAGTACTACGAAACATATAACACAGGCCATCTTCCTTAGGTAATGTAAACTCGAACTGGACAGTTTGAAGCAAGTGAACTTCTGTATATCTACCAGCAAGGCAACCACAACATGGTCCAAATACAACATCCAGTTAACAGGCAGACCAACAACACAATGCTACACTCTCTGAACAGGAAATCTTGTCAAACATGCCAATGTAACTGGAGGCACCCACTCTCCACTTGCAATCACTCGGTAATTTCATCGAGCACGCGCTGAACAGTGAGCACGCGCTACCTGAGTACAGACTGAGGTTAAACAAACGGTCACTAGAATTTCCAATTCTCGAACTGGTCACTGGATCAACACGCGAACGAACCACCGATGATCTGAGCAGGCTAGCACAACGCAGAGCGCGATCATTCAAAACCAAACTGAAACGGATCGCGGATGGACCGCGAACGCGGTTCGCGGCCGGAGGACCGTAGTGTAAGTAGAACCGGGCAGTAAGGGGGTGCGGCGCGGCTGGTATCAAGTACCTGGGACACGCGATGGAAGTTCTGGAGCAGCGATTTCAGCTCCTCGTCCCCGGATGCCACCTCCATCAGCTCGCCTCCTCGCGTTGCTCAGCTCCGCCGCTCCGGTGGACGGTGGTGGTGCCAGGTCCGCACGGACGCGTCGGCGAGGCGCGAGGCGTGGTGGGGACAGGGAGGAAAGAATGACGTTAGGCTAACGTGATATGAAGTAACCGTAGGGTCTGTTTTGCAAAAAGAAATTGGCACCCCCAACGGCACGTGTCACCTTAGCAAAAGAGCCTACTGTAATACTAGTTTCCTGGAAGGATATTTGAAATCACAGAAGAGGATGGGATTTTTTTTAATGTTTATGATGACAAGTCGACAATACCATTCGAAGATTTATGTTGTGTTTGGCGCCGCTTCAACTCTATCGGCACAGAAGTTGGAGCCTTTCAGCTTTAGCGGCTCGGCAATCGCCGCGGGCGAGGCGTGGGATCAAGGCAGGAAGTCGGAGCTGCTCTTTGCAGAGCCGTTGAGCTCGGCAACGATGATCTATTGTAGCCTCCTGCTTCGGGCTCGTTGGTCTGTCATCTTAGGATGGGTCGTCGGTGTTTTGCCATGAGAAGTCGGAGCTGCTGGCTGCTTTGCAGCCACGCTCGGTAACGATGACTCATGGTAGTGTGTACTCTACCGTGTTGTGTGGGTGGGCTAACCTTTCGCGGTGTTTGGCACCACGCTTGGTTACCTTTGCTTGTATATAAACTTCATTCGTCTTAATTGAAAGACAGAGCTCCTGTCATTGTTTCAAAAAAAAAAAAAGAGTAGAAGCATCAAAATCATGGGTTCACCCCTGTACGTGGCTAGAGCCGGAGGAGAAGCACTCAAACCGTGGGTTCGCCTTCGTATGCCGTCAAAACGGCTCTGGCTCCTCTTCCACCGTCCCCAGAAGCACTCCTTCCGTTCAGGCTATTCGGTGTGTGTAACGTTTGACTTGGATGACGGCTAAGATCCACTCTACACGTTGAATGAACCATGCCTGCTAATTAACTCGTTTACGTTTTCGTTCTCGCTTCGCAAAAGAATCGATCCGGAGTTAACAGCCTCTCAGGTTCAGGCTTTTAAGCTGGTTCGACTCTGCTTCAGCTTACGAGGTAGTACTAATTCTGGCGCTACAATGTTTTTTCCGTGATGCTACAGCAACTCGCATCTAGCCTGGCCCAACTGGCCCATTGGGTTGGGTCTCACATCCACCCACCCTCAAAGTAATTGACGTCCTCGTCGAACGCTGAACCAAGCTGTAGAACAAATATCCAACGCCCGACCCGCTTTCATCATCGCTTCGCGCAAAAAGATCGATCCGGAGTTAACCACCTCCCAGGTCCAGGCTTTTAAGCTGGTTCGTCACCTCCTCTGTTCCGAGGTGGGACTAAAGCCGTAGCTACAGTACCTTTTGTTGCTACAGTGCCGGCACCATGAGCTGCAGTATCTCGTCCATTCGGCCCAGCCCACCAAACCGGTCCAACTTGGCCCATTTAGCGGGGTCTAGCAGTGTGGTTCCAGCTTCTCACTAGTGCCAAAGTTGGAGCCAGAGCAGTGTCAAACAAAGCCTTAATTCATCTCTAGTTGTTGTCTTAAGGGACTCGTGAGTCATGACCAGGTGGGTGGGTATATGACAACGCCTCCAACCCAACCAATCTCACCGAATCAATTTAGGCATGCTCACTTTCTCCGTTCATGCAAACTGAAATTGGTAAAAGGGAAATGGCGTGGCCATGTTGAAATGTACTCCTAGAACGCTTATCCACATGAATGAAGAGCTACCAGTGCGCAGCAGGTCAGAGACGGCCATATCTTTTTTGACTCCATCGACAACTTCACATAAATTCTTGCCGTTGTGCTTTCAATCTAAATTTTTTATGGATTTGCTCTCATCTTTAGACCCCAAAAAAAGCGTATATTGATAGTAACCTAATAAAATAAAAACCAAGCAAACGCTCTTTTTCCTAAATTAAAATATGGGATCCTTTTTATTTAAGATCCTCTTTTCTCCATCTCATTTCTACTTCTACTGCTTATTGGGATGTCTATGTGACCCATAGAAAGTTGGTCATATAATACATACATAATTGTATGTATAACTATAAGAAAAAGGAAGGGAAATTGGATAAGATAAGAAAGATTTTGGGTTATACATATAGAAAAGCAAAAGTAGAAAAGAATGAAAAATAGAATAGAGGGGGTTTCGAATCCAATCAAAAAAACCTATTTTGGTCTTAGTATGGATAAGAGATCTTCCTATGTTATATTATTCCACTATCAACCATGAATTGATTTGATAGATCCAATATTCATAATATTGAATTAAATTCATGGTCAAAAGAACACAACTCAAATTGCGTGTTTATTCAACCCACACGAGGCCCTTCACAGTAGACAAAACTCTGAAACGTAGTTCCTTTATTGGCGTTCCATAAAGACTGCCGCACTGTACAAACTGTTTTACAGAACCTCCAGCTTCAGCTTCAAGGGCGTCTCATAATTGAGCTCTTGTGTGCCACCTAGACTTGCCGATGATCCTCCTAAGCGCTTCCGTGGCTTCATCCAGTGTTTCGACGCTGTGATCCACCTCAAAAGCTATCCTCTGGATGTTGAACTGCAAAACCCGCCCAAGAAAACTTTATGTTGTTCTGCCGTAAAGAAATAACCACTACCATGGCAGCACAACGCATAAGCTCATGATCTCAGAACTGGAAACAGAGACTTGAGGTGTTCAATCATGTAAAGATCTTCAGTAGGTTGTACCTGTGCACCATGTCGAACACGGATATCGATACCTTTACTATCCATTGAAATAACAGCTACATCGTCTACCTCTCCTTCATCAGTTGATAAAAGTTCTTTCAGAGGCTTTGAGAACATTGAATTGAGTTCCTATTCAAAAGGCAATAGATGGAGCAGAGGAATCACTTCCAAATATAGTGCCTAAGATCAAATGAACTAGACATATTTATGGAACGCATTGCTCGTCAGGCTGTTCTCCGAGCAAATACTCATTAGCTTACCTTCAGATTGTGTTCCCCTCCATCCATTGCAATCTTGTCAGGTTGCAGAGCCTCATATTCATTCACATCTATCCAAGCAACGGTACCAAAACCTCCAATGAAATATATGTCACTGGAACAAAGTTCGCATGTAATTATCAGATCTATCAATGAATCTACAAAATAAGGGCAACACAGAGACAATTAATTATGTGAGGGTGTACTACTGATACTGCAAAATCTATGTAATCATAACAAACAAAATAAGTTAAACTTGTACAATCTTAAAATTCATTGCAACTCCACATTAGCAGGTAAAGGGCTAGAGAAATAGATCTGAATGAAAAGAGAACTTGTACAACTGAACCACGAATTGTATAGTATTAAAAGGACTAGTTCCCTTGATTGTTGCAAGATTACTCTTGATTAGTTTTTTTCATTTACTAAATCCAATGAGGAAAGACAAAACTACAAATTGATCATGCAAACTGGCCAAGTATAGCTGCTTCGCCTTGTAAAGTTGTAAGTGAACTCAGACAGTAAACTAATTAGCTGCAAATCTTGTGTACTTTGTTTTAGAGAATAATTGCTTTTATCACAACCAGACAAGCAAGAAGAAAATGCATCTTACATAGAAACACCAATGCCCATGAAATCTCAAAGAACACTAATATGAAAAGTTGAGAAAATAGTTCTCATTAATGCAAATTCAGGAACTACCTTATTGTGTGCATTCTGTAGTAGTAAAAGTTACCCCACTGTTGGGATGCCCACTGCTGGTGCTTTGAAACATACTGCTGATGAGCCCATTCCTGATACAGATTTATTAATTCTATTCAAGAATTAACCAAATATCTGAAGGGAAGAATATCCAAGGCTTGCACATGAAAATAGTTGCCTCCTCAGTATTCTTATAGAGCTCCTGGCCAAGTTCTTTACATCATATACCTAGTTACCTACCTCATAGGAAACGGAACTCCAACTCCCAGATGCTTAACTCAAGTTCATGAGTCTTTTACCCCCATTTCTTTTGGCTGGTTTTCAGTTAGGGTGACTCCTATTGGTCAGTACTGATAAGGATTGGTAAACAGAAGTAGGCAAAAAAATTAACTGCAACTTTAACTTTAACTTTGGCATGTCTTAAGCTGAAGGCAGGTTCAAATAAGTGTCTTATCTTTGAGTTTATTTTGTTCATTCCATGTATGAGCATCATATAGCCTCCTGAGCCAGCAGGGGTTAGCTTTCTGCAGTACATAGTTCACATATGAAAGAAATAATAGCAATATGGCACACATGTCCAGAAATAGCTTCATAAGTGTAAATATCAAACACAAAATTTACTGAATCGGGTGACATGGCATGGTATTCAGGAAAAGAGATCATGTTAGTAATTTTAGTGCAAACCTGTTGTTCAGCGGGCAACGGAAAGACATCACCAAAGATAGTTACTCGTGCATTTGATAGTCCACTCCATCCAGGTACCTAAGAAAGGTAAGAGCATTTTAGTACAAAATCAACAGAGACATTTCAAGAGCTGATTATATAGTATAGCCGAATGTCATTTACCTGTACAACAAGGGTGCATCTTGGGTCTGCCAACAAATTTCTTGTGTGGATGGCTAGCGGGGATAATGAGAAGATTGGATCTTCATGACAAAAATGCATAAATAAATAAATAAATAAATATAGCAATGAAACTTGGTAGATACAAGATGTGATATTAAAATTACTTACGGCCAAAAGGGTCAGGTGCAAAATCTACTAGAGAACCAAATGGGTATCCTTCACGGCGGTGATGCATCCGAGACATGACAGTGCACAGATGAGCAAACCTTGCCTGGTTTCAAAAAAGAAACATGAATATAGTCATTACAAGTTCCTTCTCATATCCATATTTGATTGTTTACCTCTTTCTATCCCAGATACAACTAAACCAAACAAAAGAGAGCGTAAACATACCTGTTCCATGAGGTTGCGAACGGCCAAAGCTGGTGGTGGTAAATCATGAACAGCGGTTGCACTGTGCACACCACCTGAAATAGGTGTTCTGAATAGACCAGTCCTAGAGCCACCAGTGTGACTCCCACCACTTCCAGAAGTGCCAGCATCATCATGTTTAGTGGTATCCATGTCATTGCTTCCGCGTAGAGTTACATTATTCTTTCAATATTACAAACAGGAAGAGAGCAATAATCAATCTTGGAGAGCTCATAAAAAATTCAAATTATACAGAGCAATAACAATAAACCAAATGTAACACGGTACCCAAAGGGTAAGAGCTTATGAAAGAAAAACATTTCCCAATCAAAAAATAAGAAGCATGGAGGTTTATGAGTGAGCTGGTGAACATTGCCATAGTTCATTGTCTCAACACACACTTCATTGTAATTGCTTGTAATTACTGTGACGTTTTTGTGTCTCTTATAGTCTTGACTTTTCAGGCATCAAAACACAAACAACAAAGAAAAGAGCACGTGCTTACAGTCATAGTATTACTTTGACATAGTTGTGAGGTTTCTCCAGGAAGCTAAAGAGCTTGAACTGTTCAAATAAAATCACCGTAGATCTAGGAGGGAAGGTTCAAGGGTAAGAAGACACAAACTTACAAAGGCATATGGATTTCAATATTTACAAAGTCATCTAGAGAAAGGTCAATCCACCATCCAGAATCAGCCCACCAGGAATTCTTTTGCCAAAGATAAAGGCCAAATATTAACAAATAAAGTGACAGAAGACTGCATAAAAGTGCAGCGCAAAACTCCATCCCAACTGTGGTGCATGCAAGTTCATGACGTCATTCATTAACTAGCTTAAATTTTAATAAATATAAATCTAACTGAACACCATGCAATATTATGTAGAGGTCATTATTAGTGAACCTGGCAGAAGTTGCCTGACACCATTCATTAGCTAGCTTTAGAACAACACAGTAGTAACAATAATTTCTGTCTTTGGCAAAAGTTACCAACTTAATTAGTGAACCTGGTTACATCATCATATACTAAAAGGTCATTATTATAATAAACTGTTTTTGCCAAGTTAGTCATGTGTCAGCAATTGGTGCTGCTTGAAGAGCAACTTCCTCCCAGACTATACTCTCTCCAGTTGATTAAACAATCTGAAGTTCTGTCAAGTTCGACGGGCAATTTGAATTTTCAAATGGGAACATAACGTATATATGTCAAAATAATAGTTTCAATTGTTCTTCTGACGGAAGCTCCTTATTATCATAGCAGTTGAACTGTCGCAAACTCCGTACAACTCAAGTACAACATGTCAGGTACAGAATCGCACGTGTTGGATCTCCAATAACATATCATACATCAGCGAGTACCTCTAGTACTGGAAAACTTTCCGCCTGGCCAGCCGTGTCATCGGCAGGGTCCAGGGACCCGCCTCCCCCTGCCGCAGCGAGCAGGCGGCCGCCGCGTCGGGGCGGAGCGCGCAGCCAGCGCGTAGAGATGGCGAGGGCGGAGGGGCTCCTGCGGGGCCCGGGGAACGCGGCGGAGGCTCGGCGGAGCGGCAGGGATAGGGACGGCGACGCGTCTCCGGCGACCCCCGGCGGCGAGAGCACGGAGGAGCGCGCTGCTAGAGCTTCCATAAGTGGAAGGGAAAAGGCAGGAGTGGAAAGTGAGAGCGAGAGCGACCGGGTGAATGTGGTGTCTACCTGTGATTATCTGGGCCATCCTGTCAGCAGCTCAGGCCCGGCGGCACCTGAACAAGAAGATGCCACTCCCAGCTTGCCAACCGGCCCACTTCCAATCAGGCCCAAGAGAATCAGGAAGCCCAACTCTCTGGTGACTGGCCCATCCTAGGTTAACTAGGAAACAATGTATAAGTAGCAAGAGGATTGGGAGAGAAAGGACATGAACAGAAGATGTAAAACTTGAATTCAGTTTTAATCATTCCTAGTAGCTTATTCCTGAATCTGTTCTTCCTGTATTCTGCTTAGGTTCGGCACCTTGGGTGCTAACACCTGGTATCAGACGTCTCGTTCCAATCCTGGCCAAATCCGCACCACCGCCGCCCCCTCTTTCGCCACCCCAAATCACCACCACCACTACACCCCGCTCAATCGCGCTCGCGGCGCCATGGAGCCATCCTTGAAGCAAATCCTCGACGCGCTCAACGCCCATTTCGATGACTTCGACCGCCGTCTCGACCGCATCGGCTCCGTCGACTCCCGTTTCGCCACCCTGGAAACCTCCATCTCCACCCAAGCTCTCGGACTCGAGACGCGCTTGGAGGGGATCGAGTCACGGCTTCCGGATCCGGTGTCTGCGTCCGTCGAACAGCGCCTCGCCTCCCTTGAAGCCTCCTTCGCCGTCGGTCCCGGCCACCGCCACACCACTCTGGAGCCTAGCACCGACGTGCCCATCAAGCCGGAGTTCAATCCGCGGGCGGTCGCACTCGAGAAGGTCTCGGCGGATCTAGCAGCGTGGCGCCCAGGCGTAGACGGCGTCCTGGACGACATCCAGAAGGACGTCCAGAAGCTGGTGAAGACCCTCGACCGCCAGGTGTTCGACGATTTGTCTCACCGGTCGGTCGCTCTTCAGTCACCACCGGCGGTGACGACGTTGGCCTCGGTAGCCGGTCTGCACGCCACACCGCCCAACGGGCACCGCGTCGACCTCAATCCACGGGATGCTGGGTCCGGAGTTGTCACAACTTGGACCCATGTCCCGGCCAATGGCATGCTTCCTGAACATCAATCTCAGTATTTACATGCACGACTTTCGCCCGTGTTCCGACCGTCATTCCTCTGCTGTGGTTGGCTGAGCAGGTGATCCGATTCACCATCCACCTTCTCATCAACACCCCCTCCGCCACCCCATCCCAATTTTCATCATAGACCCTCCATCTCCACAATTCCTCCTATACCACATGTGATTACCCTCCTACCCCGAGCCCAACCGCCCCAATCACCTCAACTCTTTGGCACGCTTCCTAAACTTCCCTTTCCAACGTTCGATGGCGTCAACTCAAACATTGGCGCTCCCTCGTGAGAAGATTTTTCACGTATCTTTGTCGATCCTCTATCTGGATTGGTTTGGTTGAACATTATATGGAAGGACTAGTGACCATTTGGTACCAATCTATCGCCCCACAACTACCCTCGGCCACTTGGGACTCCTTCGCCAATTGCTTCACTTGGCGCTTCGATCGTGATTAGCATGAAACATCTCCTTCGCCAAATGTTCAAGATCGCCAATGAACCAATATCACGACTTATGTCACGGCTTTTTCCCGAGTTAGTCGATCACTCATTTCCTATTCTCTAATGTTGACCCACTATTTTCACTCGCGTTTCATTGATGGACTTCGTTGGAACATTAGAGCAAGTAATTCTAGTTCAGCGTCCCCAAAATTTCGATTTCATGTCTCGTAGAGAGCTTTCATTGTAGGAAGAGGTGATTGATTGGTGCTTTTTCGACCATTTGATCGCCAAGAATATCGTCTCCGCCACCTTGTTGCCCCCGCCTCCACCACGGGTGACAAGCAAAGTGACATCAGCCACTCATCCACCTCTCATCATGGCCCTAATTCTTCTTTTCGACTGGGCGATCGCTCGGACCACCAATCAAACCATGGCGGTTGTCAAGGCGTATCGGCGGGCCTTGGGTCTGTGTTTCAAATGCAACGCCAAGTGGAGTAAGGATCATGTATGTGCTTGAGGTGGTCGCATGCACATCGATGCTCTCGGGAGTCCATTTCTTCAGAAGATTCGTTGGCTGATTCCGTTGAAGAGTTTTCGCATCCGGAGCAGTGTTGCTTAGCTCTCTCCAAATCTGCATTGTCTGGTGTGCCAACTACCCGCTCCATCTGCTTTGCCGGCTTGTTGCAGTCCATACCAGTGCAGATTCTGGTCGATTCTGGCAGTTCATCATCTTTTGTGAATCAAGCATTGGTTTCTCGCTTGGAAGTGTGGTTTGATCCAGTGTCTACTGCATCTTGGTTCTTTGGTGGAGTCGACTCACCACCTCGGCGATCTGCTTCAAGTTCCTTGGTCAGTTGGTGATTGCTCCTTTCAGTTTGACTTTAGGGTGCTACCACTGGGCACTTTTGATGTGGTGATTGGCATGGATTGGTTGGCCGCTTACAGTCCCATGCAGATTCATTGGCAGGAAAAGTGGATGGCGATTCCATACCATGGACAGTTAATTGTGTTGCAAGGGCTTCCAACTTCTTTTCCTCAGCACCCGTTACTTCACATTGATTCAGTAGCTGCTGCTGACCAAGCTGGACAGGATTTGCAGCCGTTGCCAGTTGAGTTACAGTCACTGTTGGATGCTTACTCTGATCTGTTTTAGCCACCTACTTCCTTGCCACCATCAAGGGCCTGTGATCATGGGATACCCCTGATACCTGGAGCCACTCCTGTCCTTGTTAGACCTTATCGGTACCCACCGAAGCTCAAGGAAAAGATTGAGAAACAAGTGCAAGAAATATTATCACAAGGGTTGATTCGCCACAGCCATAGCTCATTCTCTTCTCCAGTGCTCCTGGTTCGTAAAAAGGATGGCGGCTACCGCTTCTATGTGGATTTCCGTCACCTCAATGCCTTGACCTTAAAGTCCAAGTTTCCTGTACCGGTCTTCGACCAACTCATGGATGAGTTAGCACATGCCCGCTGGTTTTCTACCCTGGACCTCCGGGCTAGCTTCCATCAGATTCTGTTGCGTGAGGGTGAGGAATTCAAAACGGCATTCCAAACCCACCTTGGCCAATACGAGTTCCGGGTGATGGCATTTGGACTCACAGGAGCACCAGGTACCTTCCAAGGTGCGATAAATGCCACCCTTGGTCCTGGACTATGGAAGTTCGTCATTGTTTTTTTGATGATATACTGGTGTTCAGTTCTTCCTTTGAGTCTCATGTCCAGCATCTTCAACAAGTTTTTGATTGGCTCCGCCGTGATCAGTGGAAGTTGAAAAAAATCCAAATGCAGTTTTGTCAGGCAGTCCATATCCTACCTCGGCCACGTGATTAGTGCAGCTGGGTTGTCTACTAATCCAGCGAAGGTGCGTGCTGTGGCAGACTGGCCAGTACCGTCCAATATCAGAGAACTTCGTGGTTTTCTTGGACTGGTAGGGTACTATCGGAAATTCGTCCGACATTTCGGTATCATCGCTAAGCCATTAACTGAGTTGCTCAAGAAGGATTAAGTCTTTTGTGTGGACCCCTGCTCATGCTGAAGCCTTTGTCCTGCTCAAAACTGCTCTCTGTTTAGCCCTAGTCCTAGCTCTTCCAGATTTTTCTCAGCCTTTTCACATAGAGACTGATGCTTCAGGTTCTGGGATTGGAGCTGTTTTACAACAAGGCGGTCATCCTCTTGCCTTTATCAGTAAACCACTAAGTAAGAGGAATCAAGGTCTCACTGTTTATGGGAAGGAATACTTGGCAATCTTGTTGGCAGTGGACCATTGGCGTCATTACCTTCTCCAAGCCGAGTTTTATATTCACACGGATCATCAAAGTCTAACACACCTCAATGATCAACGTTTGCATACCGCATGGCAACAAAAGGTGTTTGCTCGATTAATGGGTCTCCAATACAAGATCTCAGCCTAAGGTGGCACCGAGAACGGAGCGGGCGGTGATGCCTTGTCTCGGCTCGCCGCCGGTAGCGTAGAGATGGCGAGGGCGGAGGCTCCTGGGGCCGGGAACGTGGCGGAGGCTCGGCGGAGCGGCAGGGATAGGGACAATGACGCATCTCCAGACGACCCGTAGAGAGCACGGAGGCCTTAGTTGCTAGAGCTTCCATAAGTGGAAGGGAAAAGGCAGGAGTGGAAAGTGAGAGCGAGAGCGACCGGGTGAATGTGGTGTCTACTGTGATTATCTGGGCCATCCTGTCGCCAGCTCAGGCCGCGTGCACACTGAACAAGAAGATGCCACTCCCATTTTGCCAACTGCCCACTTCCAATCAGGCCCAAGAGAATCAGAAGCCCAACTCTCGGTGATGGCCCATCCTAGGTTAACTAGGAAACAATGTATAAGTAGCAAGAGGATTGGGAGAGAAAGGACATGAACAGAAAATGTAAAACTTGAATTCAGATTTTAATTATTCCTAGTAGCTTATTCATGAATCTGTTCTTCCAGTATGCCAAGCTGCTAACACATCCATTTTACGTCTCATCGAGATCCAACAGCTAGTACTGGCTACAGGCGTCATGGCACAGGGCTAGCGCGATAAAGTGGCCCCACCTGCACCCCGATAAAGAATCTGCAGGATAAGGAATGGGGGCAAATCATTCTCAACTTTAAAAACTTGTTTTTCGAGTCCATAAACCTCAAATTTAACAAAAATATAAAAATATTTACAGGACGTAATAAGTATTATTAGAATCACAAAATATATTCTAAAAATTTACCTATTTAAGATACAAATATTGATTTTTTTTATAAATAAACCTAATTAAATTTAAGAAAGTTTGATTAACCAAACCTAGAATGACATTTATTAAGCCTTGTTTAGGTGCGTATATATTGATCTTAATCCACGTGGATTGAGGTGGATTGAAGTGAATTTAAAATAAATTATATTCACTGAGTGTTCGGCTCGGAAAGAAACCGGCTTGTTCGGCTTATTTTTTCAACCGGGGTGATGCATCCGGCCCAAGTGGGGTTGGCCGAGGCCCAATAAATTAAGGTTGCCCGGACCCCAACAGTTCTCAGGCACACCCACTCGGGGAAAGGCCCAATGTCCCTAAAAGACTAGTCCAATAGAGGAAGGGTGGCTCTCCCTTTTAAGGTGGCTTCCTCCTCCCAAGCTAAGCAAGGTGGGATTATTCAGAGGCTCACCACGGTTTGCCTC